TCAGAGATCTCACTGTGTAGACAGGATAAATGGGCACCACGATGGTTACTAATTTTTTTGTTTTTGTTTGTTTGTTTGGTCCTTTGCATTTATTTAAACCTACTCTGAAGGACTCTGGTGTGCGCTGCAAACGAACTTGTTGAAACGCTTTCATAAATGCAAAGTGATTTTTGTTGTTGTTGTTGTTGCTAATGGGGAGAAAAGAACCCAAGGCCGTGTGCATACTGGGAATAGTCGGCCTACTTTGTTAAAGGGCGTTTGCTGCCAGTAAAATAACTTGAGACTGCTGTTGGCTGAATCACCGTGTTATAGAAAAAAATATCACATTTCAATACCTGGGATAAAGGACACCACGGAATAACCAGAAGAGATTTGAGAACTGCAAAACGTTACAATAGAGATGAATTTGGTGAGGAGAATTGTTTCCCAGCTTTATCGAAAGTTTAGCACAAGCCCGGCATGGTGGCACATGCCTTTAATCCCAGCATTTGGGTTGGCAGAGGCAGGCTCATCTCCGAGTTCCTTGGACAGCCAGACTGTACAAAGAAACCTAGCCTTGAAACAAAACAACAAAACAGAAAAGCATAGAACAAAAGTCAGGGCAGTGTTAAAGAAAAGTTACTATTAAATACCCGAATTAATCTTAATTATCATTAAAAGTCAGACAGTTTGAGTACTACAGAATGGTTTTCTATGTAGGGTGTTTCTATGTGGAAAATTAACCTTCGACTTGGGAAGGATATTTCTCACAAAATTTCTAAGTTTCTATATAGAAGGAATATTTCTCAACTGGGTGTGGTGTCACGGGCCTGGATTTCCGGTACTTGGAAGGCAGAGACAGAAGATCTCAAATTCAAGTCAGGCCAGGTTACAGAGCACATGGAAGGTCACATAATGAGCCCCTGATCAAAATACAGAAGGGAAAATTATCTGTAGCTCCCCGACTCCTACCAGCTCTGTGAACATGTCTTTGAGCAGGGTAGAATACCTGAAACAGGCATTGGCATTTTAATGTGATGGATTTGGAATCCATAAACATACATACTGTGTGATTTGGAGGGTAAATGCCATGAGATATTTTTTAGAAGTGTAGTCTATTTTTATCCTTAATTGTATTTAATTATATAGCGAGTAGTTATGAACTAAAATGATTTGGGGACATTAGAGGGTGGGTGTGGGACATTCAGGCAATTATCTGTATCCTTCTTGTCTTCTTGTCGT